TAATAATAATAATAATAATAATAATAATAATAATAATAATAATAATAATAATAATAATAATAATAATAATAATAATAATAATAATAATAATAATAATAATAATAATAATAATAATAATAATAATAATAATAATAATAATAATAATAATAATAATAATAATAATAATAATAATAATAATAATAATAATAATAATAATAATAATAATAATAATAATAATAATAATAATATGTTTATCTTACTTTCTCCACAACTTAATAAGTCGAACAGGTCATGCTGGAAGTATTTTTTGATTATTGATAAATATTGACGTAATTTTTTGAAAAGCATTTGATGACAATCTTATCACTACTGGTGATGCTATCAAGAATGATCCTGTGTTTAAACTGATACGAATCGCGTGAGGCGAACATCTCACCATCCTGAACTATTACGATATTTGATCTCTTCTTTCAAATTTTTTGTTTTTTATCACTTTTATCATTCGCTTCTACTTTCTTTAAAAAAAAAGATCAACTTGGAAACAGAATAAGTTGTTCTTTTATGTTTATAAAAAATGAATGAACTTGACGAAGTTTTATACTGTCATTTACATTTTTGGAAAGTGAATTCTCACGCTACGATCTAATTTGCATCATTTCATTTTTTCAGTGGTTAATCAATATTAGAACACAAAAGAGTGGATTGTCATCTGTTTCAAAAAGAATAATACATCGAGGTTTCAATCTGAAGTTTCGGGTTAATGACTTCTACATTTCTATCCTTTTGAACTTTTCACTTCGGATTTCTCCTTCTGAAGTTCTGAAGTCTTTATTTCTCCCTTAGTAATCTTTAAGTACTTACGATTTTTTCCTCAAGAAAAAAAAAAATGAAAGAAGACAGCTTGCAAAGAATTTTGTCTTTTAGGCTTGGTTAATAGTGTTGGGTACATGCCTCACTGACATGTCATTTACTTAGCTTTTGATCACCAATAGCATAAGATGGATTTTTTCACCGCCCTGCTCTCTTGACAGAGTAATGACATGCTGGATTAGGCTGGTTTTCCCATGTTTCAACAATTTTCACCGTTGACTTCTTCTATTAATTGCCATTTTATGATCAGAATTACGACTAAAAGTAAATATCATAAAGCCATAACAATGCACTTTGTCACTCTTCTACTTTTGACAATACCTGACTAAAAATGCCTCCGGCAATCATAATTCGTAATGATAAGATGGTACATTCGGAATGGACGATTTCTGTCATTAGCATCATGCTTTTTTCTGCTTTGAAACCGCTGATTTATCTCATCAATCTTCGATAGTCTGAAAGATAAATCAGGTAACCTGTTTTTGCTGAATCATTGAATTAGTTAATCCCTAACAGAGCTACGAACATTGTCTTTTAGATAGATAGATGAAGATGGGTTTTCAACAAATAGTTTGAGTCAAGAGCATGATCTATGCAAGTCTGGATGTTTTCAAGTGTTAAGTCTAAAACATTTGGCGAATTTCTCAGAAACACCACGAAAAGATATGATTAGCCTCTACTCGCACTAAAAAGAGACGGCAAATTGTTGTTAATCACTTAAAAATAAGTGATTACAACACTGTGATATCATAGTTCAATATTTTCAAAAATGTTCGGAATTTATTCGTCCATTGTTAGAAGTAAGTAACAAGAGGTGACCAGTTGATCATGCTATCACCCTTTTCAATAGCTTTTGCTCTGACGATGAACTAAGGTGAAGCTCGAGGTTAAAATGAAACAATAGAGGTTAGTGTTCTGACTAAAGTTGAATGTCTATTATTTCTTATAAAAGCGATTAGACCATATTTTTAGGATATTTGTAAGCCGTCCCACAAGAGCCGTATTATAAAGGTTGTTTATAGCATCGCAGTTTCCCTCCTTAATTTCCGCAAATTTCAGTGTTTTTCGCTTTGTGCTCTTTTTGAATTTGTCAATGGAATTGACTATATTGGCTTAATTTTTTTTTTGCATTTTTTCTGCACTTTCTTTCTAGAAATATAAAAAGACCAATAAAGGTCAGGTTAGAGACGTAATTGCAGTTAAGGTCAATGAGTTTTATCTTTTAATTTCACGACAAAATAGACAATCAATTGGACAAGTATTTCTCTTCTTCTTGATCAATGTCAGTAAAAAAATTACATGCTCAACTTTACGAATTGTTTTTGCATCAAATAGAGTTTGAAGTGAAACAGGCATATCTCAAATGCCATTACACCGGATAATTATGATAAGTTTATTTCAGCTGTTGCTGAGATCGTCGTTGTAATCAAAATCAATATTAGAAGAGAATGTGATGAACAGCTAGCTTTATCATACTTCCACTTAAAAAGTTGCTCTCTTTAAAGAATAACATTATTTAGCTCTTGCTTTGTGAGACAAAATGTTCGCTATTTTCTTTCTTCACCCTAATATAATTTCAATGGAAGTTGAAGAGTAACGTCTACGGTGAAATGTATCTTTATTCTTGAAAGATGGCTGTTATATTTACTTTGTTATTTTATTATATATCCATTTACAACGAATAAAACATCACAAAGAGATGTGACAGGAAGGAACTGACGTATCTCTTGATAAGCGTTAATAATTCAATAGTTACGCACAAACAATACCTTCACTCAGCATATCGCCATTTTAAACTTGAATGGTGGTGTAT